CCGAGCTGACCGCGCTGGGGCTGCGCAGCGGGGACCTGCGCGACAGGTAGCGCCGGGGGCCGCCCGGCCCGGCCAGGCCAGGCCACTTGCGCGGAGTTTGCTGCCAGGGGGTCTTGCCGGGTTTGGGAGGGATCCCCCTCCCTGCTCAGATTGGTGCCCCCTCTGCAGCCAGCGGAGGGTGGGGGCCCTGCCACAGGTTCAGACGGGTAGGACACCTCTTGGGCAGGTTGAGCTGGGCTAGGCAGAAAATTGGGGGGTTGTGATATACGTCTTCTGGCCGAACGTATTCTTTTTTTTTTATTACTATTTTTTACCAATACCCACGTAAGGCAGCGGTTCCCAACCCATGGTACGGGTACCGCCAAGGGTGTGCAGACAACCTGTCAGTGGTGCAGGTTAACAGATTTCTTAGACTGACTGCTTATGACAAGGTGTGCTGGTGGTCCTTTGGGTTGAACTGAAAAATGCGCTGTGGTACTTGAGGTTGTATCTTTTTAAAGTGGCTGGGCGCAGTCTGGCAGAGTCTGGAAACTGCTGCCTTAAGGCATTGCACCTCTGCAGGCTGCGGGTAGCGTTCCCTCTAAACGGCAGGGCGTGCGTGGCCGTGCAGGTCTGCTCATGCCGCACTGCCAGGCACGCCTGTGTGGCTGCGCACACCACACAGCTTAGAGGGAACGCTGGCTGTGCGCTGCAGTAGGGCAGGATCAGCAGTGTGGGCGAGCGGGGGGCTTGGATGAGAATGGTGCTGGGAGGGGTGGTTATATTCCCCCCACAGACCACCCCCTAGCACTAGTCCTGGGTTCAAATGAACGCTGACTAGAAAGCTGTTCCATTTTTTGTCAAGCACTAATTTGGTAGCTGGTTGGCTCTTCTTACAGTCCTTTTTTAGGGTGTGATGGTCACTTTGCATGTATGGCCAATCTACATTTAGTGTATCATTCACCAGTGGATTGTGTGATACTTACTTTGCACGTGTGGCTGGTCTAGGTTTAGTTTGTGATTCACCAGGGAATTGTGTGATAATTACTTTGCGCATGTGGCTGGGCTTACTTTGCCTAGGTGGCTGTCTAAATTTATTGCACAATTCACCAGTGAATTGTGTGATCCCTACCTTGAATGTGTGGCCAGTCTAAATTTAGTCCAGAATGAACCAATGAATTGCATGCTATATGTAATGCAGGGGTCAACACCCCCGGCACGCGTGCTGAGTATGGCATGCAAGGCCATCTTGCTCGGCACACCACTGCCAGCCCAGGCTCTAAGCAGCTGCTACCAGCCACAGAGCCCAGGCTGTTCCCAGCAGGCAGCTGGGAGGCTGCGAGCCCTGCTGCAAGCAGACTGGGCTCTGGGCTGGCTGTGGTCAGGAGGCCGCTCTGGGCTCCAGCATGTCAGCACTCCGGCACCTTCCAAGGTAGACGTGGGTTTTTCAGCACTGTGGCCAACCCCGATGTAATGTATAGCAGGGGCCACAGCAACTGTTTCTAGAAGCAGGATGTTGGCTGCCAAGGTTTCCTTGCTTTATCTGTGACAATTTAGAGTGTCATGTCTTGAGTTGTGTCAGGATTGGTTGCTGGGTTGTTTTTTTTCTGTGGCTTTTTTTGACCCCTGGATATTCAGGGGTCAAAAAAAAAAAAAACTGTGGAAAAAAACCCAGCTGGAACACTCAGCCAGCGCATGCTGCTGAAAAGCAGAGCCAGGATGCCTGGAGCCACGCTCTGCTGCCAGTCAGGCTCCATGAGGCAGAATCACCATGGCTGCAGCCCCGGAGGCCCCCAGGTAAGGCTGCTGGGGCCAGCTCAGTGCTGGCCCCAGCCTCCCCTACCCCACCCAGGGCAACTTGTTGCGTGCCAAATGTGGCATGGGCGTTACCCAGGGACAAGAAGTGGTGGCACAAGATGCACCACCACTACTTGTCCTCGGGGAACCAAACGTCCATACATGTCTGGACCTGACCAATACATGTATATGGTATTTTAAATGTGTGGATGCCATTGTCTTAGTATGGAAACTGGCAGTAAGTTCCTTAGTAAGAAACCTCTGCTAAAATTATTTTGTGCTGTAGATTCTCAGTACTATCCTTTTTCTCTGCTTCTCCAATGAAGCTTTTCCTGAGGGACATCACTGTGTTGAGTAAGGACAAAAGAGTGTTGAGGGACGAATCGGATTCTTCAGGAATCAGGAACCTGAACAGTGCAGGAGAAAATGCATTAGCTCTATGAGGCAGGGAATCTCTCTGTATATCTGCACCTAGTTCTCTGCACATTGATGATACGGCATAAGCACAAAGTAGTATTTGTGATGTTTTATATAGATACCTCTCCTTTTCTTAAACTATAGGTTTTGGCTTGTAATTAAAGAGGATGGACATATGGTCACTGGTCGGCAGGAGCCTCGGCTAGTGCTGATTTCTGTAAGCTGTGGCAATGGCTACTTGACGCTCAATGCACCAGAAATGAAGGAGCTGCATGTTCCCGTTGAACTTTCCAGGAAAAATAAAGTGCATAATTGCAGGTACAAAAGGATAAAACGTACTTATTTTCTATCTATTAAATAAACCCACTTACTGCAGAAGAGAAAATATTAAAGACTATATAGTAGATCTGCCAAATAAGTTACAATCTTCAGAGCCTTAGTATAAATATCAGAATTACAAGTCTTTAAGAGGCAAGGATTTTTGTGGGTGATGCCTTTTATTAGGCCTGTGCGAAGCTTTGGTCCCTGATTCAATTCGGCCTGATTCAGTGGCCAAATCTCTGAATCCGAATTGAATCAGAGGACCCTTTAATCTTTCTGAATGGAATTGGAACCCTCCAAATCAATTTGGAGAGATTCGGAAAGATTCAGCGATTTGGACATAGACAGAGCTTTAAATGTTTTTTCTACATGCCTCAAGGTACCAGGCAGCTCATCAATGCTGCGATGCTGGGGCGTATGGAGCATGCCATAGGAGCATGGGAGTGCTCCCCAGTTTGCTCTGCAGCAGACCCAGAAGTAGACCAGAAGCACTTCTGGTCCAATTCCAGGTCTGCCAGGGAACACACAGGGAGCCTCCCACTTCCCGCAGCTCAGTGACTGGTGCCTCCTGGGTCTGGGGAGGGGGGCACCTGGGGTCCCCCTGTGACCAATCGCCAAGCGGGGGGGTGCAGGGAGGACCCCCAGTGCACTGCCCAGCAGACCCAGAACTTTCGGGTTTGCTGCCGAGCACGTGGAGGGTCCCCCTCCCTCCTGTGGGACGCTTTATGTACCCCAGCATTGCAGCGTTCACAAGCCACGCTGGAACCTCGAGGTATGTAGAAAAAAACATTTAAAGCTGTGTCTATGTCCGAATCGCTGATTCTCCGAATCAGCATCAGATCTTCAGGTTCAGCCGAATTGAATCAGGGACAGTGATCTGAATCAACGAACTGAATCACTATCTCTGATTCGGGCCGAATCCGAATCGAATAGCACCTGCTTCACACACTCCTACCTTTTATTGGACTAACTGCATAGTTGGGATAGTTAGGCAAGTGTTCAAATGCAATGCATTCTTCTTCAGGTCTGACCTGAAGTGCAGAAGCAGATGCAGGTCTGAGGTGATTTTCAGGTCTGACTCATGGAAGAATGCATTGCATTCCGAAGCTGGTCTATCTCAACTACGTAGTCGATTCACAAAAAAGGTATCATCTACAGAAATCCTTGCTTTGCATATTTCCTGGACTGTCACAGCTACAACATCACTCTGGCACTACCATGTGCCTTTATTTTGTTTGCCTGGCTGGTGCCTCTGAAAATCTTGGTAATGCATATAGCTGGTTCTTGATTTTCAGGAAGGTGTGCGTCATCATAGACATGCAACTGGCAAGTTAGCATTAGTGTGACAAAATATTTTACCTTTATAATGAATCCCGTTTGGAAAATGGTGAGTGCCTAGGAGAAAAGAGGATGCTTTTTTCACCTTCAGATGTCTTTTGGTAGCTCTAAATGTTATGAATCTACCCAGCCATGTTGATAAATATTTCTTATTTGGCTGGCAAAATAGCTTACCATTTTTTCTAGTGACTAAAGAAAACACCAACTGTGTAAAGAACTGTGGTTGCTAGTTCTGCATATAAATAAGTTGCTGTGGAAATTACTGTTGACTAAGGTAAATCAGCTTTTTTGTTTACATGAGAAATGCAAATTGGCAGTGAGGACACACCATAAAAGTATGGGGAAAATAGTTATTTTAAAAAAACGTTAATTTGTGTATTCAGTCTGATCAAAAGTGTTCTAGCTTAAAAAAAATATTTCTGAAATTTTATTTTTCAAAATTTGATAGAACATTAGAAAAAGATTTAAAAGTAATTAACATCCATAAGTTATAGTTTTAAACAAAGAGCAATTATATAGTACCATATATTTTTTATATACCTCTGGACTTTTCAGAAGCAAGTATCCCCCTCATTTTGCAAGCACAGAAAATGAGTTGAAGGGACTGATTTGCCAGAGGTCAATTTGTGAGCAACTGGTACATCTAGGAAGAGAACTTTGGTCTCCTGACTCCTAATAGATAACATTCCATTATAACTTTGCTACGTGTGAATGGCTTAGACTTAAAATTTCCATGCCAGGTACCTGCTTAAGGTTGAAGCTTTGTGAATGGGTCAGCTATTTCTAATAATGAGATGAGGGATAAATACTTTGTTTTGCACATTGGGCAGAGTGAGCGCCACAGCCCTAGAATGCTCCAGGGCTGCAGCCTTCAGTCTGCCCAGTGGGAGTAGTAGGCCAGTCTGGGCGGTGGCAGGAGGCACTGCAGCTGCCGGGTGCTCCAGACAGTGCTTGTTCTGCTCAGCTTAGCTCGCTACTCCTGGTCTGGATCCAGTTCACCCAACCGCTCTGGCCCATGCCAGACAAGTTCCTTGCTGCATGCAGTGTAAGCATCCAGGGCCAGTGTGCACTACATGTGGCAGGCAGCTCTGTGAGCTGGATGATAGGGCTGTATCTTTCACACCCTTGCTCTGTATGAATTTAAGTAGAGATGTAGCAGTACAGGATGACTGTGCAGCATGTTTATGGCAAAAAGATTCTCCATTGGGGATGTAAAAAATGGATTTCAGCATGGGGTACAACATTTTTAGCAGTAACTAACTTTGGTTACCATTATTTTGTATGCCTAATTTGGCATACCTTGATTTACAGGGGGTACGTGCTTAGCACTTTCAGAATTTCAGGCTGTTTTGAGGCAAACAAGGTTCTTTTGGTGAATCTGATATCTTTTATTAGACCAATTTAAATAGTTGGAAAAATATATTTTAGCAAGCTTTCGGGTTTAAAAATCCTTCATCAGGCTGAGGAAGTCTCTGCAGTTGGTGTGTCCTGGATGGAATGAAAAGTAAAGCAACCAGAGGCTGGGTTGGTCTGCATGTAAGATAGTCAGTGAAGATGTGAATTGAGGAGCCAGTGGGTGAGAGGCAGGCTGGGTGAGGGGGATGAATGTAGCAGTTGAACAGTGGAGGCTGTTTTGATGCATTTCAATTGTTTTACCTGAAATAACTTGTTAACTTAGAAAAACTTGGCCAGTGGGCTCTTGTACTGCCTTTAAGGCTGGCAAGTCATCTTGTAGTAAGTGTGTGTGTGTATATATATGTGTATGTACACATACATATGTACATACATATTTTCTACACAATGACTTGCCAGCCTTAAAAGCTGCATAGGAGTCCTCTGGCCCTGTTTTCATATATATATATATACACACACACACACAAACAAATAAAGCTTTCTCAGGAGCATACATATAGCTAGCAGTCTGAGTAGAAATAAGTTGAATATGAACATGATGGTAGACAAGGTTGAAATATTCTAAAACTTCTATTTATTTATCCACTCTGCTCAGTGCTGTTGTCTGCGAATTTCTTGTGGCTTTAATAAACTTTATCTTCCTTTTAGATCTAAATGACCATTTCAAAGATAACACCACCAATAATGACTGTCATTGAAATGTATTGCCATATGGCTGGAAACATGGTCTGCTGTTGTTAGCATTTTCTACCTTGTAGAGTTAGTTTCCATATTAAATCCTCACCTCTCTATAGAAAGAGTATCTCATTCCATAATGTATGGAGCCAGACGTTAGAACTCATTGGGAACTCTGTGAGAGAATTTTCAAATATCCCTTATTTTTTCTTTTTCACATTTTCATGTCAGGGGAAATGTTAGTCTTCTAGAACAACTCACTTTTGGGGACAGTTTACGTGATGAAGCCTTGCATGCCTTGAGATCCTTCATAAACTTTAGTATTATTCTTGAACTGGTTAAACCTGGTTTTTAGCTGATTTGACTGAGCATGTAGAATTCAAAGAGGGTATAAATATCTTCTTTAAAAGTAAACCATGTTACAGCCTTACTCCACTCACTGACATGAAACAACAAATTACATTTTCTGTGTCTTAGATATTATTTGATATCATAAGTTCAGCTGACAAGGTCTTTGGGTGACAATCTCTCAGTTTTGGCTTGAATCTTACTTCTAAAAAATTGAGGCAAAACTCTTTTAATGACAAGGGTTGGGATTAACAAATGTTAACTTTAGCTGTTATGTTTGACGTTGTCATTCCCTTGTTTAATTTAATTTAATCTAAATTGGTGTTGTTTTGGATAGAGATTTTTCTCTTCGTATTGTTGGCATTTGTGCAGAATACTTTTTTTTCTTTTTATAACCAACGAGAAACACAGCACCCATTTGTTACAGTACCTTTTGTGCCAGTTAACTTTGTCTGCGTACAAATCTTGTTCAGTCTGTAAGAGGAGAGACAATATATTACTATATTCAGTAATACAAAAGACTTTCTAGTATTCTAGTTACCTGTCTGCAAGGAAGTAGCATTGCATGTGCTTGATTGTAGGCTATTGTGGGGTGGGGAGAGGGAGTGGTTTTATAAGTAGGCCTGTAGGGAGTTCTGGTGGATCCTGAGTTAAAATCTAAATTTTCCAGCTTATTGTCCCTCAGAAAGCCCGTTTACTACATTTTTTTTCATTTGTATAGTGGGATGTTTAACTTTTAAGTGTAGAGATGAAAATAAGTATATGAGCATTCTCAGCATTCAGGCCAAATCTCTGATTTCTTTTGTAACCTTTTAGGATCTTTGGATCTGATGTCCAAGGCAGAGACTGTGGAGATGAGGCAGCTGAATGGATCACCTTGTTCTTGACTACACAGCCATATCGACTAGTACACTTTGAGCCCTCCATGATGGCCAGAAATTCAAAAGATATCATGCCTCTTTTCCGACCCACAGATAAGGAAAGCGAAGGATCTATTTTATTTCTGTTTATACAAAAAGTCCTGTTTTGTATGTGTCTTCCTCTGCCTAAACCTCCCATCCAGCAATGTGGTAACCACATATTTAGCTTCAAGTATACAAGTAGTCCCCTTGACATTGCTGGGATTATTTACATGCTTAAATCTTGCTTTAAATCCTTTTAAAGTTATTGTACATGGAGAACTAGAGATTCTGTGAGGAATCAGTACAACACAGGACTAAGTGGCTCCCTGTGCTTCACTGAATGAGAGGATGAGGTTTGTGAAGGCAAGTTGCTGGCCAGTAGTGTATGCTGAAACCCCCTCCTCTTCATCTCCCTCCCCCGCCCCGTGATGTATACCCCTATCTTTTCTCTTCTTTTGTTTCAAGAAAGTAGGCTAGGTTCAGCTCTGTAACAGTGGATTAAAGCTTCTGGGGAAACGATGGCAGCTCTTCTTCGCCTATGCAACAGGGAAAGGGCGTGTGAGCAGGGAAACTTGGTGTTGTGCTAAAGCAGTGCTCTCACTGGGCACCCTTCAGTTGTTAGAATCCAGTGTCCTACTATCCTTCTGCTTCTCCTAGCCTCCACTTAACTTGCTGAAGGGAAGCAGCGTAGAGACAGTAGTTCTTTTCTGCCAGGTGGGAGTTCTCAGTAGGGCACAGTGGCCTCTGCTGGGGCAGGAAGATGCTTGCATTTTTGTAGATTAAAGAGAATGGAAAATAACAATTTAATGTTGGTGTTAATTTGAGTAAATATCTTTGCAGGTCCCGTGATAGATTGCATCTACTCTATGGAGAAATACCATTTATGTAGATTGAAATAGGAAAGTAATAATGTGATTTAGTAGTTCCTAATCTCAGTCTTACTAGAACTAAAGAGAATGGCCCATTTTTGATATTTCAAGGAAAGGCAAGCAATAATATCCCATAGCAGAGGTTCAGACATGCCAACAGACTTCATGCTGATCAAAGGGTATGGAAAGAAAAGCTAAGCTCTATAAAGGCCAAAAGAAACTTCTGACTGGCAGAAAGAAAACTGGAAAGGTTTTGAATAATGTTTTTAAATTCTAGATCAATTCACATGAAAGCTCTATTTAGAATTCATGTATAGAATTCATGTATAAAAAGATTAATAAATGGTTAATCAATGTTGTTAATCATTAATTAGCTGTTACAGAGTCTAAAAGGCCAGGAAATTGTAATACCTTCTGCTGATATGCTTAGAAGTATTTGTAATACAATGTCTTGTTGATCTTATAACAGTACCTGACATCTGTTGTTAATCTATTTGTCCTTCATAAATTGAAATTTAGTATTAAAGTTTGACCAAGTATAGTTTACAATGGTTTACTCTACTGGAAAGGGAGAAATTGCTTTTCAGTTTATTACACTTGAGGAAGCATTTGGCTACAATGGCATAAGACTCCCTGGCCACCAGTTCACACTTACCTGTTTCTTCACTATCCTAGCCTGCAGACTTTGGCTGTTTGACAAACATGTTCCTATGGCAGCTTAAGGATTTGTTTGTTTCCCTGTGTATAGTAGGTTGCCTATCCTGACTGCAGCCCAGTTATGATCATCTCAGAAGCTTCACTGGAAGATCTAAATACAAGGCTGGAGAAAAAAGTTACAATCCAGAACTTCAGACCCAATATTCTTGTTACAGGTTGTAGTGCCTTTGAGGAGGTAAATACTATGCAGTAATCAAATTGCCATATGTTCACAGACAGGATAGATCTGCATTTTATAGACTTAACTAAATTAAACATATTTACAGTATATGCTTTTGTGAGCTGGAGTTCACTTCATCAAGGATGTGCGCAGAGGCTTCTGCCAGTACTGGGTTAGATCGTTTCCGAAATTCCCAACATTCTCCTACTGGGATTGAGCCTTTGTATTCAAAGAAGGATTGCAGTAGGTAGTATTTTAGACTAATAAGGAAAGACTGGCTATTTCCATTAAAAGCAGAAGTTCCACAAAAATGGTGGCTTAAAATAAGAACCTAGAGTGTATACAAGGTTAACTGCCAAATATAAAATTAGAACAACTACACGTGGGCAGAAGGGTTGTGGATTTGTTTGGTGGTTTGTTTGTTGTTTTGTTTTGTTTTTTTGGAGGGGATTGGTATTCCTATAGTACAATAAAGCTGGGTCCTTCCTTCCAACTTTACTTCCCGCTGTGATGCCAGACAGACTCGAGGGGAATGCCTCCAGACCTCAGGTTGGGGAGGACCGGGTTAGAGAGCTTCTGGAAGGGCTGGATGTGTTCAGGTCAGCGGGTCCAGATGCTCTCCACCCCAGGGTGTTGAGGGAGCTAGCTGGGGTTATTGCAGGGCCCCTGGCATGGCTTTACGAGCGCTCGTGGTGTCTGAGCCAGGTACCGGATGACTGGAAGATAGCTAACGTGGTCCCCATCTTCAGAAAAGGGAAGAGAGA